CCTGTGGCAAACGTCCTGGCACCTCTAGGATCCTAGTGATGAGTTGTTCACCTGAACTACGAAGGGCGACCTCGAGGCCTATGTGAGGCTTCCAGGGAACAGCGAGGACAGGCGTGACAGAGACGATGAAAGGGACCGCTGGTTTACTGCACAAAACATAATCAATGACCGTGCCCGTGCCAAGGTTACAAGTTGCCGTGTCGCCAGCGGTTACCACAGTGCCGTGCAGTCTGTCTGGGATGCCAGATCGAACAAAATTTTGAGGCGAGGTGTTGAAACCACCGAGCACTATCCACGGCAACTGGAGCGACTACAAAAGGCCTGCTAGGCGCTGGTACCTACCAGCGTTCAGGCCTCTCACCCCCGCTCCGTTGTGCGCGTAGAAGGACACGGTGACCATAGAGAAACCTGAGAAGCGCGCTGTCACCGCCACGAACCCGTCGAGCGAGGAGGGGTGGTTGGGCGCCTGCAGCTTGGATGCCGCAACCTTGGAAGCACCGAGCCTGGCGACCTGGAGGTGGCCCTTGGACATGAACCACTCGCCTCCCTCGCTCGCGAACTCGACATGGTCGTCCGTGACAACTTTCTGTGTGCGCCTAGCTGGATTGGCGTGGAGACGGAGCCCTTTCCCCCAAGCTTTGCCGTCGTACTTCTTGAGATATTGCTTATCGTGGATGTGAGTCTCGACGATGCTGAAGAAGTCGTGTGGTTGCCCAACCAGCCATGACCACGCCTTCTCCCCCATGCAGGTGACATTCCCGTGGAATATCTTGGCCGTGTGGCCCCCCTCTGTCGGCCCCTGGGCCGGCTCAAGACTAGGCTCCATGCCTAGTCACTCGCCCTGCTTCTTATCCTCCGCGGTCTGCTGCGACTGCGGCGGGGGGGGGGGGGGCGCCGACGCCCTTGCCGTTGCTCTTGCCCTTCTGGTCGGCCATGGCCTGGAACTTCGCCGCTGACAGCCTCTGGGCCTCGGCCTTCACAGCCTCAGTCTCGGCCTCGGCGGCCTCGGTGGTGCCAGCTGGGGAGGCCGTCTGCGCGGCGGTGGCGCCCTCGGCACCCTGCGCTCCACGCGCGGCGCTCTCCCCAGGCGGCTCAACACCAGAGCCTGTGGCAGCGCCCTGGCCTTCCGCATTCTTCCTCTTCTTGGCAGCTCGATCCTCGATCTCGGACCTCAGCTTCTGAGCCTGGGCCAACCGCGCCTTGACCTCGGCCTCCTTGCTCTCTAGGTCCGACGCCGTCGCCTCCAGACTCGTGCGAAGCTGGCGGAGCACTACCTTCTCATGTTCCTCGCACTCCATGGTGTCTATATTCGCGAAGAAGCTCTTGTCGTAGGAGACCTCGAAAATCTTGGCCTCGGCTGTGCCCTTGGTCTCGGCCTGCTGCGCGGTGACGCCCTCGGCGCACGCCAGCGCCTGCGCCGCGGCCGTCCGCGCCTTGAGCGCCTGCGCGACCTCGACGGCGGCCTTGGCCTCCTTGGCCTCGGCCAGCTCCAGCTGCTGGCGGAGCTTCAGCACGTGCGCCACCTGCTGGCCGTGGCGGTGGTCGGCGTCCTTCCAGGCGCCGTCAGCCTGCCGCAAGGCTTCCACTGGGGTGGTGCCCTTGGCGGCGGCCGCCTCCGCCTCGAGCCGCTCGACCTGCTGCTTCAAGTTGGCCTGGAGCACAGGATCGGCAGTGGACTCCAAGGCTTGCTTGAGCAAGTCGGCGGTGGCGGAGGCCTTGTCGCCACCCTTGCGCCTGCCCTTGCCTCCACGGCCAGGGCTCGGCGAGCGCAGGATGCCACGTGGGTGCTGCAGCTCCTCGCCCTCCTCGTCCGCGAACTGGACTGACTTCCGACGCGAGGAGCTCGGCTTCTCGTACAAGCCAACCTTCTGGCGGCATCCGGGGCAACAGAGATTGTGCTTGCGGGCTAGGATGTCATTGTACTCGCAGCGCTGGCAATTCTGACACTTCGTCCATGCACGGCGGGGGGCTGCCTTGCCCGCGCCAGTCATGGCTGCAACTCGAAAACTAGGGTTTGTCTCTGCTTTAGTCGAGGCTGAAGCACAAATGGGTGGGGCTGATTGTGCTTAGCCTAGTCCCTCAAGTGCCCCGTGGCGGCACAGAGACTGGAGCTCGTCAGCTGAATAGCTCGGGCCCCAATGTTACTGGAGGAGGAGGAGGAGGAGGAGGAGGAGGAGGAGGAGGAGGAGGAGGAGGAGGAGGAGGAGGAGGAGGAGGAGGAGGAGGAGGAGGAGGAGGAGGAGGAGGAGGAGTCGAGGAGTCGAGGAGGAGGAGGAGGAGGAGGAGAGGGAATCGAGGAGGAGGAGGAGGAGGAGGAAGAGGAGGAGGAAAAGGAGGAGGAGGAGTCGAGGAGGAGGAGGAGGAGGAGGACAAGCTAGGTGCGCTCGCGTCATATCTGACATCCTATCCCTCCCTCCCATCCCTTACCATGGCGCAGATCCCCTCTCTACTCGCACAGTCGGATGTCTAGCAGGGCAATGATCCCGAAAGGGTACGCGATGCATTGTAGAGCACAGCATGGCATGGCGTAGAAGAGCACCGCAAAGCGTAGTATCAACCGAGCATTGCATTGCATGCCGTGGCATGGCACAGGAAATGACACCAGCGCTGCAGCGGGAGCACGAGTCGAAACGAGCGGAAGCGCGGAAATGAGGCCAGCGCTGCAGCGGGAGTACGATTCGGAACGAGCGGAAGCACGGAAATGAGGCCAGCGCTGCAGCGGGAACACGATTCGGAACGAGCGGGGCCCGAAAATGAGGCCGGCGCCTCAGCGAGAGCAGCATTTTGAAAGGAAATGCAGGCGAAAACCCAACTCTGGGGAAACCTGTGTGTAAAAAAACAGTACGCGGGGGGGGGTCGGACACTCCCAGGCCGTCATCAGGGGAAGAGGGAGAGTAGTATGCATATTGAGTAATTGTGGAGGAGGAGGAGGTGCTCTGCCAGCGCCGCGTCCTGGGGCCTCCGTGCCAGGCGCGGGGCGGGGCGGCCGCGGGGCGGCGTGTTCGCGAGGGCCGCGGCCCGGTCGACGTCGTGCGCGGCCCTCCCCTCGTGGCGCGTCGTGGTCGTCGTCGTCGTCCTCGTCGTCGTCGTCGTCGTCGTCGTTTTCGTCGTTTGCGTCGTCGTTTGCGTCGTCGTTGCGTCGTCGTTTGCGGCGTGCGCGCGAGGGCCGCGGCCCGGTCGACCTCGTGCGCGGCTCGCCCCTCGTGGCGCGTCGGAGTCGTCCTCGTCCTCGTCCTCAGACACGTCGCGGATGCATAGGCGATGCATGGGAGACGTCAGCATGGAGAGAGCGGGCCTCCAAGTCGCGCCGCATCGCGGACTCATCGGCGAGGCGACGCAATCCTTGGACCCTACCTGATCCGGCCCGATGAGGGAGGCCGCGGGGGAGCGTGCCTCGCCCCTCGTGGCGCGTCGGAATCGTCGTCGTCGTCGTCGTCGTCGTCGTCGTCGTCGTCGTCGTCGTCGGCTTCGTCGTCGAGGTCGTCGTCGAGGTCGTTGCCGTCGCCGTCGTCGGAGAAGGGGGAGGAGGAGGTCGACCGACGATGACGACGAGGCCAGGGGTGCGTTCTGGCCAGATCGGCTGTGCGTGGCTCCCTGGCCCAGCCCAGCGGCAGCCGACGCGCGCAAGAGGCCGGGGCCGCGAGAATGGGCCTTTGTTCGGGACGATCGAAATGGGTGCGGAAATATCGGGTACAAAGACCGACAACAGTTTTTGTTTGTTCTGAACAGAATTCGTTGTCGGCGTCTCTGCGGATGTTGTCCATTCGAGACACAAGGCCGCCCGCACAACAGCGGCCGTTGTCGATTGGGGACAATGTCTGTTGTTGGGCATCGTGCTCGTTTTTTCCGTGCCCTTTTCGTCCAAATTTGTGGTGGTTCTGCGGTGGTTGTGCACACGACCATCCCAGATGATCTCTTGCGGTGCGATGCTTGTCCAGTCTGGGCGCTTTCACTCCGTCTCGGGCGCTGGGGTTTGTTACACGGGGCCCTCGGGCCATCAAGGACGGACCCCTCCGCGACAAGCTGCCCCCCGAGAAAAGGTTAACATGTCCCAGGGCCAGCACAAAAGAACCTGCGTGCATCGTCGAATGTTCGGGGTTCTTTTCCGCTCCGTGTCCTTCGTCGCCGCAGCTCGATTTGGCTCGAAATCTTGGACGGAGCACGCCCATGGGGGGGGGTCCGGGGAGTTGCGGCATCGGAGTACCTTTGTCTCCCACTCCCAGCTTTGGTGTTCGACCATGGGCCCCTGTTACCAATCGCAGCCCTCTGGCTTCAGCAGACACCGCGCCGAGGACCGCCGAGCAGCCGCGGAGGAGCGCCGATGGCCGACGAGTAACGGGGGGGCGCGCGGCCGACCGCGTAAAGGGGTCGTCCGGCTCCCGTCCTCGTGGCCCTCCTCCAACGCCTCCGAGTGGGCGGCGTCGGCCGTCCTCCTCGCTGATCCTGGCCGGGCCGGCCGTGGGCCCAAGGTCGGCGCACACCCTGGACGCCCGAAATGGGTACGGAAAGAATGGGCACGATGCCCAACAGCAGTTCCTGATCATTCTGAACGGGACTCGCTGTCCGCGCCGCCGCGGCCTGCGTCCATTTGAGACAGAAGGCCGCCCGCTCAACAGCGGCCGCTGTTGGTTTGGAACACCATTTGTTGTTGGGCATGGTACCCATTTTTCCGTACCCATTTCAGGCGTCCGAACACACCTTCCCAGCGTGGCCAGCAAGGCATGTGCATCGATCCTGGACCTAGGGTTAAGTCGGGCTTGTCCCCCTAAAGGGGGATTTTCGACGAAAAAAACACCCCCAAAATAGTCAAACAAATAATCCGAAACTAATCTGGGGACTACTTTTTGATTTTTCTTTTGACCTTTTTGGGTTTTTTTGGGGGGTATGTTTCATTTTTCGTCGAAAATCCCCCTGTAGGGGGACACGCCCGACATAAACCCAGGGTCGGCGTTTGACAGGGATCGGTGAGGTGGGCAGAGTTGGCGCGCCCCGCCTCCGAGGACGAGCTGCTCTTCCGGGGCAACAACGGCATCAACGTGCTCGAGTACGTGCGGGCGAAGAACGGTGGCCCGGGGGTCGGGGAACTCCACCCCGCCAGGAGGTGCGCTCCTCCCCCCGCTCGCCTTTTCCTCTCTGCCCCCTCCTGCTTTTTCTACCGAAGACGCCTACGGCGAGTCACCGCCGCCCCCTGCCTTTTCGGAAGCGCCTGCGTGGCCGAAAGTTGGGTTTGAGCTTGGCCAGGCTATCGGGCCACGCGTTCCCCGAGTAGGTTTCGCAAGCCTTCGGGGAACACGGAATCGGGCGAACTATCGGACCAGGTGGTTTCCGAGCTTTCGGGCCTTCCTGGAGGACGTCCTGGAGGGCTCTTGGGCCGTCTTGGAGGCCTCTTGCGGGCCTTTTGGGCAGTCTAAGGCCATCTTGAGGCCATCTGGGGCCGTCTTGGGTGCTTCTTGGGGCCATCTTCGCTGTCTTGGAGGCCTTCTTGGCCGTCTTAGGGGCATCTTGGAGGTCATCTTGGCTGTCTTGGAGGCCATCTTCGGCGTCATCGGGGCCATCTTGGGCCGTCTTGGGCTCTTCTTGAGGCCCTCTTGGGGGCCTCTTGGGTTGTCATGGGGCCCCTGGACAGATTTCGAGCCTGACTGTTTTAAGTGCGGCGGTGGTCAGACCTGCGCTATCCTTCGCAGACTGCCCAAGAACTGACTTTACATTCTATGCGCTGAAAAAGCATGCTCCGTCCACTGGGGCGTGTTCTTGGAACATATTCGGCGAATTGGCGGTGCCGCGTTAAAGTCAACGCCGCGTGCGTTGCTGAGTATCACATTGAACATTGAACAATATCGAGAGTGAACGTTGCGACTTCCACGTATGGGGATTCTCCAGTCGTGTCGACCGTGTCCTGGTCAGCGCGCTGTGATATTATCATGCACTTGATCCCAATCGCACAGATCGGCCTCTTTGGAATCGCCTATGCGATCGAAGATTGGGTTCGAGTTTGCCCAGAGTATGGAAACACGTGTTCGCCGAATCGGTTTGGAAACCTTCGGGGAACATGTGGAAGGGGGAAGACGGGGCTGAGGGGTAGGATGAAAAAGAGGAGGTGGGGGGGGAGAAGGAAGAGTCCTTTGGGGAGCCTCTCGGATCATTCTTGGCGCCTCGTGGGAGCTTCCGAAGAGTCCTTGGGGCGACGTTACGCTGTCTGGGGCTTGGCCGTCCTGGAGGCCATCTTCGGCGTCTTCGAGGCCTCCTCGGCCGTTCTGGCGTACCCCAAAGGCCTCTTCGGCCTTTGAGGATACGCCTATGTGGCCGAACGTCCTGGCCAGAATCCGGCCACGCTATCGGACTGCGTGTTCCCCCGGCCGTTGTGGGAACCCTTCGGAGAACACGCGGGGGGGGGAGGAGGAGGAGGAGGAGGAGGAAGAAGAGGAGGAAGAGGAGGAGGAGGAGGAGGAGGAGGAGGAGGAGGAGGAGGAGGAGGAGGAGGAGTGGACGGTGTACTCGAGCGCGGCCCTGTCAAAACGTGCTCAGCCAAAAGTGCCTGGGCTGAGTTGTGCCGCATGGTGTGGCAAAATATTTGGGACTTGGGGGGGGGTGGAGGCGGTCTCTCTGGTCAAGGTGAGAGGGCATGCCAGACATGCGGCCGTTGCAGCGGGCCAAGTCTCTGCCTTCACAAAGTTGGAAGATTTCGCCGATCAGTATGCCAAGCAGACGTCTGAGTTCTCACGTCTCCCGAGCTCAGTTCGTGCTTAGATCGACGCCCGCACTAAAGTTTTGGCTGAGCTCGCCATGTGGGTGGCCAAAGTTGGAACATCCATGGTGGCAGTCGACGCCTTTCATGTGTCTAGACGGCGTGAGGCGAAACTCCGTGCTCCTGTGCTCGCCATCCTGCCCCCGGAGCCTCCGACCACCCCACGCAGCTTGCTCGTGACCGGTTTCGGGCACGCTCGTGTGGCCTTGGCGGGGGGCAGGCTCCATGTTGTTCACCCTTTCAGGCTGGCCAGCACGGGGCAGTGGTGCGTTGCGTGCGCTGTCTGTGGTGCGAACGGGCCAGGCACTGTCCCAGCCTTGTCCGTCGCCTGCCCAGGACCCGCTCCACTCCGTTCGTGGGGTGGGCGGGTGCTCTGGGGGCTGGCGTTCGGGAGGTATCGCATCCATCGGCAGTGGCATCCTTTGTGCGATCTGTGGCTGACGGGTCGTCTCGTCCGCGCGGGAGGCGGAGATCCCGTCCTCAGGCCTCCGTCGTCAGGCCCTTTGGTGTCACCGGTGGTTCCTCCACCTGTGCGCCTTCCTGACGACGGGCCCCGTGCGGCGGCCCTCGCCGCTGCGCCCGTCGCCACTGCCGTCGCCGCCGCCGCCGCTGCTGCTGAGGAGCAGGAGCAGATCGGCTCTCTCTGTAGGTGCTTCGGATCGAAGCTTTCCGCAATGTCGAGTCGAGGAGGAGGAGGGGGAGAGGGGGGATCAGAAACAAGGGGGAAGAGGAGGCCTCTTGGGGCACTATTATGG